ATATAGTTTCCAATATCCCCATTTTAAATTTATTTTCTAAAGGCCCACTTAACAAGGGCCACATGCTCAAGGATACAACTCACTATGTCACAAAATCTTCTTACGTCATCTTAATATTGAAGCATCTAAGACTCAAACATTTCTAATAATGGAAGATGAGCTCTCCAAAATGGTGTGGCTTTAATCTCAAGCCCTGGCCAGCTGCTGTTCTTCTTGTTCTTACTGCTGCCTTTCCTCCTTGTTTGTGTGTTTTTCCCATGATGAGGTGTAATTTTTGAACATCTATAGAGGACATTAAGAAAAGCTTCCATAGGGCTCTATATCCCAGCACTTTGGGAGGCCGAGGCAGGCAGATCATGAGGTCAGGAGATCGAGACCATCCTAGTTAACACGGTGAAACCCCATTTCTACTAAAAATACAAAAAATTAACTGGGCGTCATGGCAGGCGCCTGTAGTCCTAGCTACTCGGGAGGCTGAGGCAGGAGAATGGTGTGAACCCAGGAGACGGAGTTTGCAGTGAGCCAAGATCGTGCCACTGCACTCCAGCCTGGGCGACAGAGCAAGACTCCATCTCAAAAATAAATAAATAAATAAATAAAGCAGGGCATGGTGGTTCATGCTTATAATTTCTCTATTCAGGGTTTAGCATCATTGTCAAGTATTATTTGGGAGGCTGAGGCAGGAGGATCACTTGAGGCTACGAGTTTGAGACCAGCCTGGGCAACATCACAAGACCCCATCTCTAAAAAAAAAATTTTTTTGAATTAATTAGCTGGGCATGGTGGTGCACACTTGAGGTCCCAGCTACTTGGGAGGCTGATACAGGAGGATCGCTTGAGCCTGTGAGATAGAGGCTGCAGTGAGCACTGATTGTGCCCCTGCACTCCAGCCTGGGAGACAGAGCAAGACCCTGTCTCAAAAAAAAAAAAAAAAAATTCACTTAACTGGTAGTCTGTGAGCATATTGCTAGAGACAACAATGGATCATTGAGGCAGATAGAGCTTTTCCATTTCCTTTTATACTACTGTTGTGTATTTTGTAGGCTATTGTTATTATAACCTACCTGATACTTGTGCAAAATAAGATCATTGAGGGTATTTAACAGGGTTAGACACTTCATAAACAGACGATCAGACAGACAGATATATAGATAGAATTCTATTTTCCTCCAAGAAATCAATCATGATGGTTTTATTGAACCAACATTTCCCACAAATTCTGGACAATTACCAAAGACAATCCATTTCAGGAAACATGATTGAGATAAAAATAATAGATGCAAAAGGAATAATGTTTAAAATTCCATTTCGGCTTAATAATGAGTTTGTGGCCTGCATCATAAGGCAAGTTATTATCCATCACATTTTATCATGAGACTCTTTCTTGCATTTGTATAAAAATTTTAGAGCCTCTATTTTCAGAACTGCCCAGAAGATGTTGTTACTGTTCACTGTTATTTCCTTTGATGGTTTGATTTTTGAAGTTCAGCTCTTTTTCAGAGTTTTGAAGCACATGATAGGCAAAAGGTAAATTTTAGCAGATTTGCCTATTTCCTAGGGGGAAAATGAAGCAAGATTTAACACTTTGGCTTGTTCACTGGACATACAAAAATGAATTTAAAATTTTTCTATTAACTAAAATCTGAAGTATTGATGTTTATTTAGGGTACAAGATGAAATGGTACAAAAATGCTTTTCTAAAACCAGGAAATAATTTGAAGTTATAAATGAAAAGACTTTTGATTTGTTTTCTGCATGTTTCAAGAAAGCCCCATGTGGGGGTTGTTTGGGTTTGGGATTACTGGGGTCACATGTCTGACAGTCCTGGCACAGAGCAGGCACCGAAATAGCTTTTGAACCATGAATGTGAATGACCAGGACCCCACAGGACTGAGAGAAGAAGATCACGAAGAGGGTGACTTGAGAGGCTGGGGGTGGTCTTCATTTCTGGTGAAGAATGAGAGGTTGCCTGAGAATGCCTAGCCCTGCAGCCCACAGGGAACCCTAGCATCTCTAAAGAGATGTAGAGGATAAAGTTCCTAACATGTAATGGTGTGATTATTCCCCTCGCGTCTACCATAAGGAAATCACCAAGCATCTGCCAGAGGTTTGTGGCTGAGGGAAGGAGGAGGGATTGCTCAGCTGCCTGACGGCAGCTCTGAGCTGCAGGTAACCATCCGGAGTTCTTCAGCCCTCCTGTGCCTTCTGGCGTGGAGGCAGAACTAGACTAATTCCCTCTTTCCCTCAAACCGTTCTCTGTGTATCCAGGCTTGTAGATCTGACCATGGGCCTCGATCACTAATTCACAACCTTTAAAGCTCATTAGAATCACCTGGGGGCTTTTCCCACAATACTGGCACCAGGGTCCCACCTCAGACTTATTGAACCCAAATCTCCAAGGGTAGGGTCTTGGCGTGGGATCTGAGGATATGTGCCTTTTAAAGCCTCCCTGTTGAAGCCGTTACTCGTCAAAGATCAAGAAGCCCTGTCCTGGCTTACCTCTGCAGTTGAACGAAGCGTATTGTTACTTGAGGCTTTGAATGCAGTTGTCACAGACTTTGGTCACCAGCTTGATCTGAAAAGACTAAATTCATGTCCTCAGTCACCAGTGACTGTGTGATCATGAGTGAAATGCTTAACCTCACTGCAGTCTCTGTCCCCACCCCTAAGAGGCAGGGACTAGTCTGGGTATCTTTATAACATGCCACTGTCTTAAACAACTTATCCAATTCCTAACCATCTGGACTGAGTTTCTGTGAACATATGAATACTCAAAAAAAGAAAGACTGAGTAAGTGCAGGTGGGCTATTAACAACTACAAAAACCGTAACAGTCTGGATACTCATTTAACACCATTAAAAGAATTAATGCATTTCTTGGTAAATAAGTGGTTAGGGTTTTATTAAATATGCCTACGTTTTTTTCTTTAGAAAACCCAGAAAGTAGATCATTTCCAGTTCAGAACAACCTGGTCTGTAACCAAAGATACTTTCAAACAAGAGGCCGGTCAATGTCAAAACACTGGATTACAGTTATGAGACTATCAAATAACTAAATAATGAGATTATCATTTTTCAGGTTCCTTTATTATCGCCAGTGCTCAAACTACAGACACAAAGGAAAAAAAAGACTACTTGGGATGAACATTGTATGGAATTTTTTATTTAGCCTGCTGTCTTTTTGAAATACTGATTTTCATCTATTCTGAGTCTTTTGATATAGATCAGTTAAACTGGAATGAACAGTCTTTTCGTCTAGTTTGCCTCATCCTAATAACAAGAATGAAGTGTGCTTTTTTCCCCTTCAGTGGTTTATAAATAGTCCTTATAAAACTGCCCATTACCTTTTTATACATACTAAGCTCATTACTGAAAAATTACACCTCCTCACACCTCCAGGCCTTTCTACATCTAAATGAAACTCTTTCCACTTAAATGTATATGGCAGGAAAAATCAGCAAATACGAATGTTCGAACCCCAAGGGGGCAGCCTGCACACAGATGAAAATATGACCATGCACATACACAGTTTCTGTTGCATGACACCAGGCCTCGAGGAGAAAACCAACCCTTGCATAAAAGATTTCACAGAGATAAGTAAAAGAACCTAGTGCTCTGGTATATCCAAATTCAGATGTAAACTCAAAAAAGTCCATAGAAACCCTGACATTGTTTCAAAGCACAGCATAAGATTAATAGTGCATAAACCACAGCACACTTTTGTTAAATTCACATTTACTTAATAATACATATCACCAACTTTGCAGTCAGATGCCGAGGCAGCAGGCAAAACAAGTTATTTTTAGGAGTCTGGCCAAGGACCATTTGCTCATTCATGAGAGCGTGCTTTAAGAAGTCCAAAGCCAAGATATCAAGATACGCCATTATCCAGGCATGGCTGCAGGGCCAAACCGCCTCACAAGGGGAGTGCCATCCGCCACCCAGGGAACCAAAGGAGAGACAATGTGTGGTTAACACAGGCCCACTGCTATTATGAGAAAAATAGCCAGGAGCATAACCGCTGATGGTGATCAGGGCATTTGATATTCAAAGTATGGCTTACTGGTTGGTTTGGCTAAAGATCTGGCCAAGAATCTAACAGGCAAAATTTATCTGAAGACCAATTTGCTTCTTAGGAAAGAGAGTCAGGTAAGGGACCAACTATGGCAGCAATTTCAGCTCACACCAAAATGCACCTTGCTTGGTTCCTACTGCTTTGCTGGCAGTTTCCTAACTGCTACCAAAGCTGCAGAACCAAAGCTTCCAGTTTCATCAAGATGAATTGCAGCAAATCAGAAGTGATTTGGACATACAGAATGCCTTATTGATGTGATATACCTAACATGGGCCGGGAAGGAAGAGCAATAAGAAATACCTTGGGGCCAGGCATGGTGGCTCACACCTGTCGTCCCAGCGCTTTGGGAGGCTGAGGTGGGTGGATTGCCTGAGGTCAGGAGTTTGAGACCAGTCTGGCCAACATGGTGAAACCCCGTCTCTACTAAAAATACAAAAAAATTACCAGGCGTGATGGCGCATGCCTGTAGTCCCAGCTACTCAGGAGGCTGAGGCAGGAGAATTGCTTGAACCAGGGAGGTGGAGGTTGCAGTGAGCCGAGATCATGCCACTGCACACCAGCCTGGGGGATGGAGCGAGACTCCGTCTCAATTAAAAAAAAAAAAAGAAAAGAAATGCCTTGGGAAATGAAGGATATAGAATACCTAATTCATTTGTTTAGTTGTTAAGGCTTTGTTGAGCTGTTTTTCACATGCCATGTACTGCGGCAGGCATGAGGGATATCAAGACACACAGAACACCACCCTGCCTTCTAGCACTTCCATGCATCCTGGCATCTATGAATAATAATATTGCAAACAAATACACCACTCTCACTATAGTTCCTTGAGTTTACCCTAAGAGAAAGGGGTTGGAACCTATTCATTTTTGCATAAATGATTCTTTTTCTGACGAGTGTGACAGTGTTGCCCACCCGCTTTCCCTTAGGTGGAGCCTTGTGACTAATTCTGTCTGATGGACTGTGGACCTGTGAATCCTACAGGTCGGAATCGAACAGGCAGCGCCCAACGCTCCAGCTGTCTCATCTCTTGCCAAGGCAGTCAAGGAAACCTCCTGCCGAGACGGCAGAGCTGCACGCGTTACAGCATGAAGGGCGGATGCCAGGGAGGGTCACCCAGCCTGCGGCGGACCTCAGGAGTGAGAAAAGCCATTAAGTCACTGAGACGTGGAGGTTGTTTTTTGGTTTTGCTTTTGTTTTGTACTGCAGTATAGTACCTGCTTAATACCATTCATAAATGTCTGTTTTGCCTAGGACTTTTAGAGAAGACTAGAAATCACAGACTCTGTAGAGATGAAGAGGCTTTATGGATTAATAGACTTACCCAGTGCAGATCAATCTCCCAGTGGAAAGAGATCAACCTCTCCCACTGTGCTTTTTCCTCTCAGTGTAGCTGTCACAGAGACTGTTCCCAAGGCTCTAAGGTGTTAGAGCTGCTGCCTCCCTCAAGCCCTCTGGACACCACGATGCCTTCAGGTAGTCCAGCCTCAGCACGTCCCTATCTCTTTTCTTCCCAGTTTAGTGGAGGCAAGATTGGGATTTTCCAAGTGAAACTTCATTAGTAAGAAATGGAGATAAAATAAGTACAAATGTATAGAAACAGATGGATTTGCTGAGTATAGATTTCTAATCAAAGTGTATTTGATCTTCCTTTTCCAGAACATTGGGAAGATATGTTTTGGTCCTTGCATCCTGAACGTGTTCAGTCCAAACATACCTAAAACAGAAAGGGGAGTCTGAGGTACCTCATGACTTGGCCAGATACGGGCTTTGCTTATCCACCCAAGATTACAACATAGGAGACACCATCTTTTCTATGGAACAATCATATTCCCTCCTAACAACACAACTCTTCAATAGCAATAGTCTCATTAACAATTAATTTGTGATGCTAGAGCACTTTGTGTGTTCCAAGTAACAGCTATAGCATTGTGAACAATAATAGTTATTGCTGTATTTTAAGTCTATTCATGCACAGAAGAGAGTAAGGAAGTTCTTTATAATGTAAATGATTCCTGAGTTCTAGAAATTCAGTTTACCCTTATAAATATGACTCAATTTCAAATTATTCTGTTAAAATATATAATTGTTGGGGCAATAAACTTTTGTTTAGTTTTCAATTCTTTAAAAATAAAGAATCTATATTGAATCTTATTTTGAGGTCGAAGAAAGTGACCACAGATGGAAAGTTAATGCTTTCAAGGTACAGTTTAACTCTCTGGAAGGAGTAAATCATATTTATTTCTGGTTCAAAAAAAAATTAAAGAATCTTTCTTCTTATATGTACTTTTTCTTTTTTTCTTTGAGAGAGAGTCTCACTCCATTGCCCAGGCTGGAGTGCAGTGGCACGATCTGGGCTCACTGCAACCTCCACCTCCTGGGTTCCAGTAATTCTTGTGCCTCAACCTCCTGAGTAGCTGGGATTGCAGGAGTGCACCACCATGCCTGGCTAATTTTTGTATTTTTAGTAGAGATGGGGTTTTGCCATGTTGGCCAGGCTGGTCGCGAACTCCTGGGTTCAAGTGGTCTGCCTGCCTCAGTCTCCCAAAGTGCTAGGATTACAGGTGTGAGCCACTGTGCCCGGCCATGTGTACCCTTTTTTTTAACCTTCTGTAAACTCAGTGTTTCATAGGGGAGTATGATATAGTGTTTAACAACACAGACTCTGAAGGTGGATTCGTGGCTTTAATTCCTCCTCTACCACTTAACTACCTACGTGACCTTGAGCAAGTTCCTCAACCCTCCTGGGCATTATCTAACCCGTAAAATGAAAATTATAACTGTCCCTGTCTTAAAGAAGTAACTGACATAGTGCATGCAATTAAAGTGTTAGTTAAATAGAAATGAAGTGCCAGGTGCAGTGACGCACACCTGTAGTCCCTGCTGCTCTGAATCTCTTGAACCCAGGAGTTCAAGCCTGCGGTGTGCTATAATTGTGCCTATCAGTAGCCACTGCTCTCCAGCCTGGGCAATATAGTGAGACCCCATCTCTTAAAAAAACTTTAAAAATGCATGAACTACCTGGGAAGTCAAACACCAAGAATACAAATTCTTGATTCTCCATAATACTCCAAGGTAGAAGGCAGAAAAGAAAACATTCCTAGGCTGACCTCCATAAGAGCAATGGGTACAGGCTGTTTAGGGAACCCAAATTCAGAAGACTCTCAGAGGCTTTGGCTAACTACATGACAGCGAATGACTCTCTCAAATATACCAAAGTTAGACTAAAGATTTTCTAGGGCCAGCAGAATCCACTGGAGCATTGCTAGTGGGACTAAAGCTCACATTGGCATGCCCAGCTCAGCTGAGCACCAACCGAGCCCTGGCATTGGTGGTGTACCCACATTTGCACCTCTGTATTAGGGAATCCAAGAGCTCTGACAGTCAAAGAGATTTGTCTGTTTGTTTGTTTGTTTTCGTAAGTGAAGAACGAACTCATTTGGCATCAAAACTTGTCCTGAACTGAGATGAGGCTATTTGGAGTCTTTATTTATTTCACCGAGTGAATCTTCATATGTTTCGCTCCAGAAACATTGATGAGTTTGCTTATGAGTGCTGCCCCAAGCCTTCCTAGGATGTCATGTTATGTGATTTTCGCACCATGTTCCAAAATCTGCAAAGTCCTGAATTCCGAATCCCATCTGGCCCCAAGCATTTCAGATGAGGGATTATGGCCTGTACCTTCTTACATGTGATGATTTCTGCTTGGAAATGGGGAGGTCATTGACAGCTCCAGGCTGTCTCCAATGTTGGAATGTGAGCTTCATGGAATCTTCCTCTCTTGCCACCTCAAAGCCAGAAGGTGGAAAAAAGGATGGAGCCACCAACGAACGAGAGAGAGAGACAGACTTTGACAAAATATTATAATAGTTCCAAGAAGTCTTTTCTCTTGAAACTACTGCTGTGTGAGTGTGAGGCTTGCTGTAAAAATGTGTAACAGGTGTCTGGATAGGAACTGAGATACAGAAGGCATGGGTGATCAAACCCTAGAGTCTTAGCAACAGCAATATTCCCTCCCTCAATAATCCATGGGTTGACAGTTAGCCCTAAAGAGTAAGAGGGTGTCTGGGGATGAGTGCGGAAACATCAACTCTACACAGGAGGTGTATAGACCACAAACTGCTCTAACAGAAAGGCTCTGCTGCCTCCCACACCACATTTATGTTTGCATTTGGTCAGTAATTCCTTCCCCAATCTCATCCACCTTGCTTACTCAGAGCGTCCCAGAAGGCAGCCAATAATAGTTAAAGTGATGGGCAGGCAATTCCTCCCACTCATCATGGGGGCTTGGATCCTGTCGTCGCTGATCTTTCTTATGGATTAGACCAGGTGCCTTCTAAACTTCTCACCCATAAACTTAACAACTCCTACAAAACGATGCCACCCAGATGCCTGCAGGAGCGCTGCTACCTCCTGAAACTTAGATGATTTTGGCTCAGAGCTCCAAATCCTCATCCTGCAGAAGTTAAAACCCCTCCCCAATGAACCTATGAATTCCTGGTATAGAAAATCTGTCTTTCTCATGATCACCTCTTCCTACAAGTGTTCTCACTGGACTGTACCAGAGACCCATAGGTGAAACTTAACTTCTGCTCCCAGAAAATGCACTCACAAACAGCAAATTAAGTATGGAATAGACTTATGTAAAGATCTGGAGGGAGGCAAAGAAGATGTTTACTTTGCTATGACTCAAAACAAGTTCAAACTGAATATTAGACATCACAGTGCTTTAAAAATAAAATCGCCCACTCTGTTATAGGGCATATTGGATTTTTCCTTTTGTTAATAGCTGTAACCCAGCACCATCCAACAGAAAAACAATCTACATGTGCAATTTAATATTTCCTGGTAGTGGTATTAAAAATTAATTTATTGATTTTAACCTATCTTATTTTATCCAATATTGGGAACTTGAACTTCGACATGTAATCAATATTTAAAAGTATTAATGATTTTCTTTAACATTCTTTTTTTCATAATGTCTTTCAACACAATGTATATTTCACACTTATTGACCTCATTGCAAGAGCTCAGTAGCCAAATGTGGCTCACGGCTGCCTCAGTGACCAACCCGGTCTTCTCTCCACCCCAGCCACCCTTCCTGAGCCCTTCCTCACCACGCTCACAAATAGTCCCAGGAAAGTCCAAATTCCTCTTGATTTTACAAGCCCCATCCTGGTATCCGCTCCTATATCCCGGACCTATTTCTGCTTAGTCAATTTCTGTTTTTAAAGAGCCATTTTCCTTAGACATGAGTTGGACTTGGAATAGCAATTTCTTTTCTTCTCTTACCATAGAAACCATTATCATCATCTCAATCCCACAGAGAGGGAAACTTGAGCCCCAAAGTTAAAGACATCATAGATAACACGGTAAGACCATGGCAAGTGCCAGGTAAGCCACAGCTCCTCTGGTGTTGCCTTTCCGCTCCAAAAGGTTGAAAGCACAGGGCCCAGAGCTGTGGACTGGCTGAGTTGTTCCCCTGATTTCCTCTCTGGGTCCATCATGAGCCTGTGTGGGGCTCCCAATGTCCTGGGCTCAGTTGGACCTTTGCTTTTTCCTCTCTCTACACTGTCTCTGACAATGAAATCTTCACCTCAACCTTCAGTCCCATATCTCCAGCTGCCTACTAGACACTTCTCGACATTTGCATGTAAATCAGAATTCCTCCCGCCTCTCTCTCTGCCCCCACCACCCTCCTGCTGTCCTATGTACACACTCCAGCTGTTTGTAAGACATAGTCTCTGTCAACCCAGAACCCAGGTCACCTTGGCCCTGTACCTCTTTCGTGCTCCACAAGTTACCAGCTACAATTTTATAAGTGTGATTTTGAGACTTTTAAGTGGTAAATTGAATATTATGAGATAATTTTACTAACTTTTAAACACTATTAGAATACTTGATAGAATTTGAGAGTCACAATATTCATAACTCCCAATTTAACCGGATTTATAAAACTTTAAAATCGTTGGAAGGTTTTCTTTGTTAGGGTTATTAACTTAAGCCAGAGCAGATATTTGAGTTGCTTAGAAAGCTAATTAAGTGTATTAAGTTTATCACTGCAGTTTAAAATGCTTAAAAGAAACTAATAATTAACATAAATGGCACTAATAGTTTAAGGGGAATTTAGTCCTTTCAACTCAAGCCAGTCAAAAACTACTCAACGGGCTGGGCGAGGTGGCTCATGCCTGCAATCCCAGTGCTTTGGAAGAGGCTCATGGGGGAGGATCCCTTGAGGCCAGGAGTTTGAGGTTACAGTGAGCTAGGATTGCGCCACTGCACTCCAGCCTGGGTAACAGAGGCAGGAGAATTTGCCTGAGGCCAGGAGTTGGAGACCAGCCTGACTAACATAGTGAAATTCTGTCTCCACAGAAAAAGAAAAAAAGGCTTTAGGAAACTGGGCTTTTACATTTGTCATTCTAATAAATTAAATATTACACGAAAATGCCCAGGTCTGTTGTGCCCCTTGAAGATGTGGGGAGGTGGCTTCTCAACTCTTTAAGCGACCATGAGGTCCACTGTTGGGCGTCTTTGATACTGAGTTGGTCAAAGAAGACCAGAGTCAGGTCATTTTCCAGTGGGAATGATGGCTTAGTGGTGCCACAACAGGCAAGGAGAGGGGCCGACGGGGCAGGGAGGATGGGGCGGAGTGGAGAAGGCAGCCACCCATCAACCTTGAGAGAGGCTGGAGCCCCAGAAAACAGAAGAGCCCTTTGCACACATGCTTCAGCTTGGTGCTATTCTCAGAGCTCTTTTGAGGGTACCTTCTCATCTGCCCTCAAGTGCATTCATCAGCCCCAATCGTTCAGCCATGGCAGCTGACACTCCATGAGGGTTGGTGACACGTTCAAGTCCCAGGCCTACAGGCAGCAGAACCTGAGGTGGCCTCTGTGCCTCCTGGTTCCTGGTTCTCAGGTTGCCACCACCACACTCCACTGTCCAGAGAAATCAAACACAAACTCTCATGGAGAAGCAGAGGGGTCTCATGGAGCAGATCAATCAAATCTGTAAGCACATATTACATGACCGTCTTGAGATAAGGCTGAAAAATACTTGCCATGGCTTTCATGCTTCTGTACCGTGTGACTATTGTCTCTCTCAG